CCGGAGCCCATCCCCGCCGGGCGGCCGGAGCCCACGACAACGACGATGTACCGCAGAGCGCCGCACCCTCACGCGTGTGCGCCTCTGACGGTGGCCGCCGCGACGCCGACGGGCCGAGAGGCCGAACTGCGGAACACCGAGGCCGCGGCCTCGTGAAATACCGCTAGTCGATATTCTGAAATACCGATACTCCGAAATTCTGAAATACGTGCCGATATTCCAAAATACTGCGCTTAGCACTCCGAATGGTTTCCTGAGTGGGCGGTGCTGTCAACCCGTGGTCCTTTGTAAGAATCTGGTTGGACAACCGTAAAATGTAAATGAGGTGGCCGGTTTGTATTTTATGGTTTTTTTGGTTTTTTTACTGAGCCGAGTTGGAGATTTGGGCATTAATGAGATGGTGAGAAAACATCCCAGTAGCTCCCTTGGTGAGCCTGCTGTGCAGTCAGCCAATGCGCTTTCAGCTGTTGGGCTGCTAGACCTGTTGCACGTGTTCAGAAGTTTTACAAGCTAATTAGTGAGGACCCATCCGGTGCGTCTGCTGTGAAGTCGTGCTTACCGGTGTTCCTTTCTGCTGCGTCATGCTTTGGCAACTCATTCAGCCAAACCCAGAATCTCACTCTAGACAGGATAAGGGTTAGGGCCCCCCTCTCCGTCCCACTGCTTTAAGCCCCCAGCCCTATAGGACACGTGGGCTTTTCTGCTGTACAGTAGGTGATGGCTGTCTGTGAGATACTGGAGTCCTGATGCTGCAGGCACCCTCCCTGTTGGGTTCAGGCACTTGGTAAAGGCATTTTGCAAACAGACACTGCTTCCTGTTTTACCACGTAAGAAAAGTAGGGTTTTTAAAAACCAGTGAACTTTTGTAGATACAGATAAAAGCCCAAAGGGTCGGCCAAATAGCTCAGCGGATTAAAGCACCTTCTAGCAGGCACAGGGGCCAAGGGCGATCCCCCCAGTCTGCCTTGCCGTCTTCCCCCCGCCCCCCCCCCCTCCGCGCGCTGAAACGCGGTTAAAACTGGGCACGGTGGTGCTCACCTGTAATCTCAGCACTTGGGAGGCTGTAAACAGGACAATCACTAGGGAGTCCAATCTAGTAGTGTGACCCTGTAGACCCTTCCCTAAAATACAGAATAAATAAAAGCTAAGGAAAAATTTCCTTTGCGGTGTGGGAATTTATACCTAATAAGCCAGAGAGGCAGGAGGGAGTGGTCTCCATCACGGAGTCAGACCACCTCCTAAACCTCTAGACTTGACAGAAATAGGTCAGCTGAGGCTTGTATGTAGAGGGCAGATGTTCCAGGAATAAACTGAGCCCGGAAGCCAGGCATAAGACTGCTAGCATCTTTATCCCTAAAAAAATTTGAGGATAAAAAAGATGAAGAAAGTATAAAGAAGAAAAGGAAAGCTATGAAGGAAAAAGTTTGCATTTTTCTAAGCTTGGGTAACTTCCCAGTCAATGGTTGGTAACAAGGGCCAGCATGCATTAGTAAGTGTGTAGTTCCTCCTTGCATATGACATTGCAAAATAACCTGCCCATTTAGTTTAGGAGATGCATTCCCAGCTGTACTGGGAACTAGCTGTACTGTTGATGTTTGCCAGTTGTTATCTAACTATTCTGTGTATCTGCACGTCTTTTGACTCAGAATCGGCAAGGTTGGAAACCAGAAGCGTGTTGTTGGTGTGCTTTTGGGGTCGTGGCAAAAGAAGGTACTTGATGTTTCCAACAGTTTTGCAGGTAAAGGACAAACTACATTTTTCTGAAAATGCCTAAAATCTCAGTTTACTCTTTTAAAAAAGTAAACATTTATTACCAAGTGTGGTGGTGCACATCTGTAATCCCAGCACACAGGAGGCTGCTGAGACAGGAGGATCACCATGAAATTGTAGCCTGGGCTGCATAGCGAGACATTGTCTCTAAAAAATAAACAAACTTTTTTTTTTTTTTTTTTAAATCACAGCCCAAAGGTTCTGACTTGCCAAAGTATTGTAAAGGGAACCTGCATGCTCCTCACTAGATAAGACAATAAATATTTTTGATTACAGGCCTTGTGGTAGTGTTACAGCTGTGCTTCTCTGCTGTTGGAGTGCTAAACAGCAACAGTCAGTGTGTAACAAATACAGAACTTTACTTTTATGCATTGCTTATTGCTTTTTGATCAAAGAAGCAACATGAGGGAAAAAGTAATTGCTGGTCTGGCTTCTGGACTGTTGGTCCAGCCAACAGTGTAATCTACCCAGTGGGAAACCTTGCAAATCAATGGGGCTTTTAGCAAACTGAAAAGCACCAGTCCTTTTGTAAAGGTTCTCCCCAACTGTTACCAGGTTTTCTAGATTTTTAAGAGAAGTTAGACATCTGGATTTTTGTATGAATTCAAAATTCTAGTTTTGAGGACAGTTCAAACTTCATATGCTAGACAAATTAAACACATAAGAGTGAATCAGGTTTGGTCTAGGGACCTCTACTTGCGGGCTGTGCTCTGGATTTTTAGCTCACACCCTAAACTAAATCTTAATTTCTTTATTCTTTCTATTTAGTCCCTTTTGATGAAGATGACAAAGATGACTCTGTCTGGTTCTTAGACCATGATTATTTGGAAAACATGTATGGAATGTTTAAGAAAGTCAATGGTAAGTCTTCACTTTCTTAGAAGTTATGGCATGATATAGGGGGTGTACCTGTGCATGTGTGTTTTCAACACCTACTGTCCTTATTTAATGTAAAGGTCCTTTTCCCTTAGGGAAACTAGACTAGTGACAGTAGAGGACTGAACTAGAATAAACAAAAAGTTAGGCTTGTAATTTAAGGTCAGTCATCCCAACTGTGTTCTTGAATTGCAGCAAAAGAGCAGAGTTAGACCTTGGTAGCTGCAGCCTGTATCACTTTTGTTTTACTTCATTACAGTAACTACACTGCTTTGGTAATGGGTATTCCTCCAACACTCGTGGTCATGTACATGGCATGAACTTCCGTTTGCTTATGTATAGCCTGGAAACTGTCCTCTAGTTGTCTTATGTAACTAGTCTCTTAATGTAGTCTGGGATCATATGCAGTACTGCTTTGGGGTTTGCTTTTATTTTTTATGCAGTACTGGGGATTGAAGCCTAGACCTTCACACTGAGCTATCACCCCAGCCCTTTAAAA